TTTATCAAAAGCTGAGTTCAGATTAAACATACGACGCCTTTCCCTTATATTGGCTGCTCTTCGCTGAGCAATGGTCGCCACTCGACGCCTAGGCTTTGATGACTTACTGCCATTGATTGTGAAATTACTTGAAATACCATTCGTTAAAGTGTTAACGTTTTGGTGCGGAAGCGTTGGATTACTGTTGACGGCAGCGCTGTTGGCGCGGATAGAGTCGGACACTCTTTGCACAGTCATTGCGGGCACTGATCCCGAAGTGATTGAAACGCCACCGCAATTGGTAGAAGTGGTCGGCGGCGGAACCGATAGCGCGAATGCAGTCCTTATATCACAGGTTGGGCTAAAGCTCGACAATGGATGTGAGTAGTGGTGATGAGATGCGGCGGCGAACGCGGCGGCCGATTGATGGGCGGCGGCCTCCCAACTGGTCAGACCGTTGGCGAAGGCGTCGACACCGCAATCGTTGATATATGTTGTGGCGAACACCGATGAGGCGGCCGAAGATGTGGTCGACGAGACACTGGTGTGCGGATGGCTGTGATGTGCTGGCGATCTGTGATGGAAACTGGCTGTAAGTCCGGCCAAATCGTAAGCAGCTTTGGCTGCGGCGGCGACGGCTATATCAGCGGCAGTACTGTTGGGTAAGTCTAAGAACTGTGAAGATGTGGTCGAAGTGTTGGATGTGAGCGCTGTTAGTGAGCTATTAGTGGTTCGCACATTAGACTTGATGCCAGAGGTTGTGTTGGATGTGTTGACGCTATGAGAGAGTGCACTGGCGGTGGAGGGTATGGCACTCGCTCTGGCAGGTGTTGCAGCGAAATTGGTGGTCGACTGAGTGTAAAAGCGATTGACGTTTGATATATTTGATGAATTTAACGGTGAAGTGGTTGACGTCGCGGAATGTAATTCAATGGGTATGGAAGGCATGACTACTCTTCCAGACACACAAACTATTACTTTGAAAGCTTAGAAAACTTAGTGAGACTTCATGGGCAACGGCTGTGGCGGTGATGGAGGGCACAAGTGGTGTGTATGTGTTGGTACGTATGGCACAGTGTGTACAGTATGTGTGTTATATATGCAGTACAGTATGTGTCGGTGCGGCGGGTGTTGGATGTGGTGGTGATTGTATAAAGTGGTGCGCGTGTTGTGCAACACTTGTGTTTTGTTGGGCTGTTGTGAATGTAAATAATAATTAGACACAAACAAGCGGTGCGTTTATATTATAGCACCGATGATGGCATAGAGTTTGTATGGATAGTTACACAACTGATTGAATGCCTGCCTCTGTTAGTCTCAATTCAGTTCACATTAAGCTCCCGATACTCATAACGCATACACACTCTTATACACACAGCCTCTCTCTCTCAATATTAATACTAATATCAGAAGTTATATTCGCTAACAGAATGCCATTCACGACAATGAATAGGAAAACTTAATTTTGTTTTGTATTTGATTTTCTAAGATATTTTGTTGTTGAATGCATTTTCCTATTTTATTAACAATATATTAATGCAAAAACTTGTTTATAAATTATAATAAAGAATTTGTATTATAATATAGTAAATCTAAAATAGAAACTTTTGTAAAGATTTGATAAAATTAACATATATTTATTATATTGTATTAAATTGCAGGGTATATTTAATTCAACACTTAAATGGATTACAATATGTTTTGTTTCTTATTAAGTAAATATTTTATTAAATATTTAGAGAAATTTTAAAATTACATCTGATTTTGGAATAATTATTTTGTTAAAAGATACTGAATATAAAGCAAAAGAAAGTGTATATTAAAACATTAAGCAAATATATTTTATACAAAATTTGTTAAAAAATTAAAGCATTTTAAGAGGTTAAATTAATTGTGATTTCAACTTGTTGAATTGAAGAATTTATAGAATAACCTTTCCCATACTTTACCCATGTGTGCATTATTACCACTAATTGACATTGTTAATGACACGTTTATATTTAACATCCCAATCGTGTCTGGTTTAGGCGATACTTCAAACCTACTTTTACTTATATTAAACTTAATTTCCGATACATTATCACCCGTTTGTGTAATTATTGTCTTCAAATCACAGGTCTTACGGTCTTTACTGAACATCAGTTGGTCGGGACAGACACAGGTATAGCCCTTGTTTGGAGCCAATACACACATATGGGAACACTTATGCGACAAACAGGGATTGTATGATAGCTTTTGGGCCAATGGATGAAAGACATGGACACCCATTATGTGTTCATTCATTTCACGGACAAGTGTTGTCTGATTATGTCCCGTGAATTTGTCGCTCATGTCCAACGAATACAGCCAAAGAAAATGGATGAAAAATCTTGTCCTGAAGTACAACCCGTCTGTGATTTGTTTCCAAGTCTAAGAACTCGATTCTTCCGTATTTAGCTTCAGACCAGTAAAGCCTATTCGACACGACATCCAATGCCAGTCCATTCGTCCAAACAATTTCATCGCTAATCAGATGCCGTTTATTAGAGCCATCCATTCCCGCGGTGTATATTCCCGGCCTTTTTCCCCATTCACTCCAGAATAGGCGTCCCTCTGAGGGCTCGACAACAATACCTCGCGGAAGNCCAAACAATTTCATCGCTAATCAGATGCCGTTTATTAGAGCCATCCATTCCCGCGGTGTATATTCCCGGCCTTTTTCCCCATTCACTCCAGAATAGGCGTCCCTCTGAGGGCTCGACAACAATACCTCGCGGAAGATCTAACTCTTCAAAGAGTCCAGAATTACAGAATTCTCCGTCGATATTACAGACAACTATTTTGTTATTCCCCATTCACTCCAGAATAGGCGTCCCTCTGAGGGCTCGACAACAATACCTCGCGGAAGATCTAACTCTTCAAAGAGTCCAGAATTACAGAATTCTCCGTCGATATTACAGACAACTATTTTGTTCAGTTCGGCGTCTGTTATATATATGTTGCCTCCCATCCAATCGATGGCCAGATCTTCAGGATTTTTCAGACCAGTCGTGTTAACGCGCTTAAAGTCTTTGCCCGAAAGTTTGACAGAATATACTCCGGAGTGAGTCTTATCCAAATCAACCCAATATACCCGGTCTTCGGAGCCGAAGTAATCGATTCCAACTGTTTGTGTCAAAGCTTTATAAACAGGAAAGTATTGGTTGGTATTAATCATGAGTCCTCGGATGCCATCACTGTTTGAAAATAAAAGCAAAGGTTCGCCTTCTTTGACGAGACATGTCTTATTGCGAACGAGTCGATAGCCATCAATACAACCGCATTTATAGCCACCATCTGTGTTGGCACAGGTTTGAGAGCAAAGATTGTCCACTTTGTTGGAGAAGCACTCATTTTTATCAATACACGTCCGGTTGTCCCTTAAGTTAAGATCATAGCCCTCTCGACAATAACATTGCGGCCCTTCGGGCGCCACAAAGCAATGGTGAGCGCAGTTTGTTGTGTGACAACCGGTTGGCCGACATTCAGTGCCCTCGTCGTCGCCCTGCGGACAGTCTTTCTTCTTATCGCACACTTTGCTGTGAGGAATGCATTCACCGGTCATACACTGGTAAGAACCGTGCGCTCTGTCACAGATCTCGTTCTTCCTGGCCTTCGGGCACTCGTTTTCATCGGAGTTGTCGTCGCAGTCGGAACTGCCATCACATCTCCATCGCGAAGGAATGCATTCAAAGTTATGGCATAAAAAGCCCGAACACTCGACAGCATTGGCCGTACAGTTGTGTTCGTCGGCGCCGTTAGAGCAGTCATCCATACCATCGCACAGCCATTTGTCGGGAATACACGTGCCGTGAGTGTCGTTACAGCGCGTCTGGTTTACTTGACACTCGTTCACGTCATGGCATTTAAGCTTTAGATTATGACACGACTGTTCGTCCGCCCAATTCCCGCAATCGTCTTCTCCATCGCATCTCCAGAACTGAGCGATACATCTGTCGTTTCCGCAGTCGAAGAAGTTTGGCGGACACCCGCTATAGACTAAATACAACATAAATTGACAATTTTATAACATATACAATTTAGCATGCTTATTATTATTACCAAATATAATATTTATAAAACATATTGTCAATGGAATTAATATTATTTTGTAATTCATTATTTTTAATTATTTAAACTACAAATTTAACGCATAAAACCAATTGAAATATTGATGTGATTTATTAATAAAAGAAAAATTACTAATGCAGTACAATATGTAAGATTGATAACTATAATAACTATAACAATTATTGTCCTAAAACTCAAATATTAGAAATACAATGAATATCATTCCTTTAAAACTTAATTACTTATATTTTTTATTTAAGTCAATATGTATTGTATTTCAAACAAATGTATTTAAAAATATTCTGTTTATATCATATGCAAAAATTCCGAATTTTTATAGTTTCGATATAATGTAATGTTAACTCTAAACAATTGCAATATTTATAAAATAAGTTATAATTTTATTTACACTTTATTACAACTTATTTAACATGACATCTTAATAATGTTTGCGGGTATAATTATAATATTTTCTATGAGAGCATAGAGGCAAAGCCTACCTTTTGAGAGCCCTCAAGTACTAATTATATTGCATATTATGTTATCCTGAATAAAATAGATATACTGTATTATTGTTAATAATATATTATAACTTTATATTTTTAATTTGTTTTATAAAACAACTGAGAATGTGTTGATTCAAACAGGATATTGATTCATAAATATTTTGGATGTCTTAATAATGAATCAGTGATGAACAATACAGTATCATCTCTAAAACCTATTAGTTAAATGTTTGAGACTTTGGGGGCAAACGAATTAAATAATAAAGAGCGTTTTGACCAACTTTTATTTTGCATAGAAATGCATATTTGGTCCAAAAGCATAAAAAGCATGAATTTACTCGAAAATGTCTTCCCATTGTCAATATATTGCTTCGAGAAAGTTAATTCCTCTACCATTTATATCTTCCTGGAATTTACCCATTTTTGGAAGGGAAGATATTGGGAAAATAAGAATTACATTCTAACATTATGTAAGATTAAGCCATCGCTAAACTTATAATTTCATTCAATCTTTAAAATGTATTTTCTAATATAGTATTTATATTGCAGTGAATATAACGCTGTATTTGAAGCAAAAATATTGTGAACTAAAGAAATATTTATGCGAAAAAGCATTGAGTTTATGAAACCATAAATTTAATGATAGGTTAGCAGAAAATATATCGACGAAAGCATTGCAAACGTCTTCTCATATGAATTACACAAAAGAGATGAGAGAGAAAAAGAGAGAGACTCTGCAGACTATGGTTAACACATTCACGTATTCACTCCCAGACAACACACATCCAAAGTATCCAAACTTTTATTATTATAATGTTAAAATCATTTGATTCTCGATATGACTCCATCTACTGGTCACTCATATAAACTCTGGGGGAATAACGGGGGAGTGACTGGGATAGCCTATACATACGTCACATGTTCGCACAGATGGCTGCCTACACATAAACTATTGCTGTCCAAGTAGTTGTACAAACAGCGCACTCTGTATGCTATACTGTATACATTGTCACACATGTTGTTGTCTATTCGCCAACAGTAGTTTATGTGTGTGCAGTCAGCTGT